ACCCGATAGAACACCTTTGGGATGAATTAGAGCGGAGACTGAGAGCCAGGCCTTCTCGTCCAACATCAGTGTGCGACCTCACAAATGCGCTTCTGGAAGAATGGTCAAAAATTCCCATAAACACACTCCTAAACCTTGTGGACAGCCTTCCCAGAAGAGTTGAAGCTGTTCTAGCTGCAAAGGGTGGACCGACGTCATATTGAACCCTATGGATTAGGAACGGGATGTCACTTAAGCTCATATGTGAGTCAAGGCAGGTGAGCAAATACTTTTGGCAATATAGTGTATATATATATATATATATATATCATATAAAACTAACATAATTTGATGAGAAAGAATACCGCACAGTTTTAGGCATATGAGAATGCTTTGTTCATCTGAGAATGCTTAGTTGATTCAGGACTTTCAAAACTAGCTCTACTAGAAATACCCATTAACCATAAAAATAAATAAATAAATAAAAACAAACAAAGTTTAAAAAAATAAAAAAATAACTTAAATAATGTTTTTGACTTGATCCAGTCAAAGTCATAAATTAATTCTGATTAAGTAGACCGCGAATTGGACCATTTATTAAAAAAGAGAGCCTCCTGTAAGGCTGAAACAAACAGAAGAAATCTTGGAGAGGAGAAATAAGCAATATTTTGCAGACATTTATGTTTATGTGAAAAGCAGCGATAATCCTGTAGGTAAAATTTTTTCATGTGTTATTCAAATATGTAAGCCATAAACAAGAATGCTCATCCCTGACTTTTTTAGTACACTCTGAGTTTCCAAGAGATGACGCCACATCAGGCGCCGCAGAGTTTTAATGACCCAATCCGACTGCATTTATCCCTCAAGATAAATGCAGTCGGATAATATACAGGCTAAGGGTATGGTTCAGGTCAGAATCTGCTCTTATTATTCAGCATGGGATATTTATGAGAACAATTGATCGCATAGTTCATAAGTCCAACAGACAGGGAATGAGCTTTTTGTGCAATTTAGTGCTCAATAGAGGTCAATGGGAGCATCTGCTTTTGATGACCTAATCTAGAAGAATAACACTTTTATAGTGATTTTTATAGTGGTGGGGTTGGGGGGTCTGCGTTTAAATGTGTTGTTAATGTTGAATTGCTTTTTTCAAAGCTAGGGGAACATTTCTTTTTACATATAATCAACAGCAACTGTAGTGAAATAGAGGACTTAATGGGCTCAACATCTGTTTAGAGGAAAAGCAACAAAAGAAAACAGGACAAAAGGATGTGTGTATATATATATATATATATATATATATATGACTGCATTTGAAAAAGGTAAAATAAAATATTGCGCTTAAGAAATGCTTGGCCATTGTAGCTTCCATTTTATGCCTAACCAATGGCTTATTTCTCTCAGTAATTAAGTTTTACAGTAGGTGGCCAACTTGATTATGATAATTGCTAAGAAGTGCAAAATTTGTTACATTTTTGACAAAACAGCAACACGCTTATATGAGACTAATAACATTTGTCTCTTTTTTCACAAACATATTTAGTTTTTTAATGACTTATGACTTTTTATGTGCACCTTGAGCACACTGACTACCATGTAGCTGCAGTGTGGATGCCGCAAGTATTCCATATAATTGAAATCTTACTTCACACTCACATCAATCATGGTACAGTGCAGATAAAAGTACTTTTTTTTTTTAAATCAGCTCTGATGTAATAAACTTTCACCTCATATAACTGATTGTTTTTGATGTCAGCGTCTTCCTGGATGTTCCTATTATGCATGTAAACAAGCCTGGAAGCAACATCAGCGTTCTTAATTGACATGTTTATCTGAGAAGAACAACTTCTCCTATTGCAACACTTTCCTCCATTACTGATCTGTGGTCAGTGCTAGAATGCTCCTCTTTATTACAGCAGTGCATGACCACATAATGTAAATGATAAGGTAGGATGACCCTATGCTTTGCGGTGCTTGGTTAATTCGCTTCAAGTCAAATGGAATCACTGCAAATCACATTTCCTTTTGTTTACTTTTTAAAGACTGCTTAAAATTCGAATTTCAGCTGAATGGAAACACAGCTACTAATTCTGTTTAGGTAAAAAAATTTATTAGTGCATTTAAACACAAGTATTTTCTCAATTTATTTTATTTTTATAGCACCAATTCATAACACATGTTATTTCAAGGCCTTTATAGAGACATAATTTAATTAAATCAGACAGATTTTTTTTTTTATTGTATGTATCTAAGGAAGCTCAGGTGATTGCATAGAGTTGTTGACTTTGCAGGATTCACTCCACCTGGATGAATATGCACTGACAGTAGATATTTGTATGTATTGTGTTGTTGACTCTGCAGCAATCCCTCAGACTTAGCATGCAGCAATAGAGGACAGAAATACTCCCTTTTAACAGAAGGAAACCTCCAGCAGAACCAGGCTCAGGGTGAGTGGCTGTCTGATAATACTGACAATGGATTCAAGAATTCAGAACCAAATCACATGAAAGGGACATTGAAGCACTGATTCATTTACACTTTCTCTTAGAAAAGGTGATGGTAAACTAGCTCCATAGGTGGAGCTTAATCCAAACCAGGGGTGCGCACTTTAGTCCTAGAGAGCTACTACCCTGCAGCTGTTAGATGCATTCTTGAACACACCTGAATTAAATGGTGAAATGAAAACAAATCAGCAGATCATGCAGCTCTGCAGATGGTGCCGAGCAAAAATTGGTTGAAAAGACATTGAAAAATGACATGAATTACGTCCAAATGATGTCTACATTTGGTAGAAAAGTGAAAGATGAAAAGCAATAATTTTCAGATTCAAATCTATTATTGGAATAAAGTGGGACAAAATCAGACTGTCATAATTGAGGGTGACTACTGTATGAACAAGAGCAACTACAGAGGCGGGTTGTAGGTTGTTCTTACTGGTGAATGAATGGAAATAGTTGCTGGCAGATAGTTCTGGGCTGTTTACTCAATGGAGAGGCAGGGGGTCCGATTTTGGGGAGGGTGGACAGGCAGGTGAGCACAGGTAGGAGGGCTGAACGGTAGATGAGTTCGAGATCCCTCTCGGGTTCCAGGTTGCATTCAGACCGGGATCCAAGGTCTGTGGTTCCAGGTTGGGTCTCAGGGTCAGAGTCAGAGGTTCTGCAAGAAAGGGGCAAGGGCAGAGTTTAGGCAAAGGTTTCGAGTCACAGGAACAAGGTTAGGTTTGGTCTGTACCAAGGCAGAGGCGTTAATGAACTGATGACCTCCTTCTGGTTCCAGCTCCTTAAGAATGGTGGTAATCAGCTCAGATGTAGTGCACCTGCCCGTCCATCCCTGCTGGGGAGAGAATGAGAGAAAACCTGGCCTGCACCCAGAGCCCGAAGTATGACACAGACTGACCAAACACAGCACACTTGTTTTATATATATGAAGATTCTCAGTCATTTAGGTCATAGTCAAGATTAAAAAAGTGCTAGACTGAACTGCAAAGATGGCTTTGTTTGTTCCCACTGCATTGGCCAAAGAGGGGCGTTGACAGCCCCCATGTTTCCTCCTTATCCAATCTAATGGGAGGGAATAAGGTCACCTTTTGCGCCCCCTAATTCTTTATTAGACTTACAGTAAATTAATCTCAGTGCTCACCAGCACTACTTAGAACTGAATGTAGCCCACCTATACCCCATTGAAGTAGGTAAGGGCCCCTGAGTTCGTAAAAAACCCCTTAAACTCTATTTACTTTTTTGACTTGAGTTTGACTTACCTCTGAGGACAGTAACAACTTTAAACACAACCTAAGGAAATCAGAATCAGGGTTATAATCCAGTCTTAAATCTGCTTATTTCTTATCTAATGATTTGAAATAACCAAACAACTCACAACACTTTATGAACTTTGAACTTATATTGAGCAAAACAAACAAACAAACAATTGAGATGTTTTCAAAAAATAAAATAAAAATAAATTTCTCTCTGTAATAAAGTTTCAGTTTCAATTGTCCAACTTAATTAAAATATGTGGGCCCACACTTCCTAACTCACATCTAAGCCGGCATAAAGTTAAAAATAAACCAAAATTCCCCCGTTGCAGGCCTGATATGATGTGGAACAGTTGGAGTGTGGTACCTCTCCCAAAAGTTTGGATCCGTCTGGTAATGAACCTGTCCTTTGGTCCCGGCTGATAAAGGAAGATGGATGCAGGATGTTGATCACTCTTCACCAGTCTCTCGGTCCCCAGCAACTCAGCATGCAGCAGAAAAGTCCAGTGAAGATGCAGTCCTCCGAATCAGATCCATAGAAATCAGTATTGCTCACCTCTCTGCACAGTGCTTGACTCTCCCAGCTTCCACGCCGGAAACTTTACTAGAGTCTCTGTTAGCTGAGCTAGCTCCCAGTACTGAAAATGCATTCACTTTGCTGGTGAATGCTAATGCATTAGCGAGCACTGGAACAATACTCACAGCTACTATACAGCAAATTTCGGGTTGAAACAATACTAGTAGTTGCAGACAACGATGTAGAGCTGATATTTTAAAATGACTGTCGAGTTGAAAGTCCACAAACATCAACAAAACTCCGTTTTTTAGCAAACTTCGGCACGTTTTTTCTCCGTGGTCAAGCTACAACACTCTCCTGCCACTTCCTGTCTCCCTGTTGCACCTCCCACTTCCTGTATATGGACCAATGAGAAACCAGTAAAATCCTTCTGCTCTACACTACTTCCTTTATGCAACACGAGACATTTCAAAATAAAACAAGATGTGAAGATTCTTTCTAACAAACGTTTTTTAACCAAACATTAGATTTATTCATATTTTTAAGATATACTGTTCTGCATAAACAACGGTTTTAACTTATTTATTACAACTTTAACACATTAAATGTTGAACACTTAAAATAAATGCATGAATTCAAAACAACACAACCCGTGACCATTTCAAAGAGGGTTACACCCTCCCCCCTCTTAATGGCTGGTGTCCTCAACAGACTTCACAAACATGTAGGTAACTCTAGAAAGGTTATGGGAAGCTTTTAGCAAGTACATTAGCTCTGTATTTTTATGACAACACCCCTGTGAACAATCGTAAGCGGTTGTTCACTTACTTTGCCAAGTTCATCATACGTAAGTCTCACTACTGGTTTTAACGTACGTTTTGGTCTTGAACGTGTTAGACCATGGGTCCTCTTAGAGTTGCTAGCACATTGCATATCATCTTCACTAGAGACACTATCGGGTTCAGATTCTGTTTGTGGTCCTGTATCAGAGTCTTGCTCATCCGGAATAGGGCTTGCTCTCTCTGATAGGTCCTCCATTGCAACATTGAGAGAAGTCTTTTCATGTTCATGACCATTTTTGCTGTCTCTTTGGAGCATTCTCTCCAGATAAGTTCTGTATGGTCTTTGTGGAAATTCCCACTCAAAGTCAGATGATTCAGTTGACATTTCATACGCCACCTGCTTGGAATGCTCGGTGGTTGCTCGTTTAGACCTCGTTTTGGGGCTTGCTGCAGACCTGGTGTGCACTTCCAGAGGTTTATCACTTACTGGGATCCGCACATATTCTCCAATCGGCAGAAGATTATCCCTGTGCAATGTTTTGAACTTCCCTCTTCCATTCTGTGGTTTTACCTTATAGACAGGCAGATTTGGCATCTTTCCCACAACAACATAGGGAACATCACACCAACGATTCTGAAGTTTCTGTTTACCTCTCAGTCCAAGATTTTTCAGCAAAACCCTGTCACCAGGTTCCAGATTGTGAAATCCAATCCTTTTATCATAGGCTTTCTTGTTACGTAGATGCACTTTGTTTGCTGCTTCTTGGGCCATTTTATAAGCTTTTTGCAGGTCATCTTTCAATTTTGCAACATAAGACGAGTGCTGTTGGTCTCCATCTTCGTCTAAATGTGCTCCAAAACACTGATCCACTGGAAGTTTGGCCTCCCTGCCAAACATAAGGAAGTAGGGAGAAAATCCTGTTGCGTCACACTTGGTGCTATTGTAAGCATGTACAAGGGGAACAACATGCTGGCTCCATTGTCTTTTCTTTTCTTTATTCAAAGTTCCAAGCATTGACAATAAAGTCCTGTTGAACCTCTCGGGCTGAGGATCGCCCTGTGGGTGATATGGTGTTGTGCGAGACTTTTTTATGCCTAGTAGAGTCAACAGTTCTCTAATGAGTCTAGACTCAAAGTCTCTTCCCTGATCTGAGTGGATACGATTTGGAAGTCCATAATGCACAAAATATTTCTCTACTAAAACCTTAGCAACCGTAAGGGCTTTCTGATTCTTAGTAGGAAATGCTTGAGCATATCTGGTGAAATGGTCGGTTATTACTAACACATTACTTATGCCTTTTGAGTCAGGTTCCATGGAGAGAAAATCTATACAAACCAGGTCCATAGGCCCAGTACTAACAATCTGGTGTAAAGGGGCTACCCTTGGACATGGGGATTTTCGTAACACACACTCTCCACAGTTTTTGATGTACTGTTCAGCATCAGTAGCCATTCTTGGCCAGAAGAACCTGTTTCTGAGCATATCAATGGTTCTCTCTATGCCAAGATGACCTAAATCATCATGGAGGGATTTCAACACAATAGTCCTAAATTCAGCAGGCAGGACAAGTTGGTGGGTTTTCCCTGCTGACTGACTTTCACTCACTCTGTGTAACAGTCCATTTTCCATGACCAATTTTCCAACCTCTCTTCTCATAACCATCATGTCTGAATTAGATTTGATGTCATCTGGCCATTTTCCACAATTTAGTGCTTGGATGGTTGGTCCTATGAGGGAATCTTTACTTTGCGCAGTCATTAACTCCTCTCTGGACAGGTGTACCAGTGAGTTGAGCTGCAGACGGGTAGGAAAAGCATATGCATCAGGTATGCACTCGGGAGGAGCTCCAAGCTGTTCTGCATATTTAGGAGAATCTGTACAGTCATCCAGGGTTCCAACCCTCTGACATATGGACTTCACTCCATCTTGAGAGATACTTTGCCACTCATCCCCTTTCCCTCTTGTTTCCATGCGTGACAACAGGTCAGCATCAATGTTGGCTTTTCCAGGTCTGTATATGATGTCAAAATCATAAGCTGATAAGTCTGACAGCCAACGATGACCTGTAGCATTGAGCTTTGCTGTTGTGAGGACATAAGTTAGGGGATTGTTGTCAGTCCGAACAGTGAAGCGAGCTCCATAGAGATAATCGTGGAATTTTTCCACAACTGCCCACTTCAGTGACAGAAACTCCAACTGATGAATGGGATAGTTTCTTTCAGAAGAGCTAAGTTTGCGACTGGCAAATGCAACTGGCCTCAGTCCCTCTGGATACTCCTGATATAGAACAGCACCTAGTCCATTTAAACTAGCATCTACATGCAATATGTATGGTTTGCTTGGATCGGCAAATGCTAGAACTGGGGCGCTTGTGAGGCAGTGTTTGATTTTCTCAAACGAATCAGTGCATGTCTGATCCCACCTTTCTCCAAACGATTCCCTTTCATCCAAGTAGACTCTATTCTCACCGTTTTTCGGTTTCCTCCCACGCTGTGTGGGGCCATAACCTTTAGTTAGATCTGTTAAAGGCCGAACAATGGAGGAATAATTGTGGATAAACCGTCTGTAATATCCGCAAAATCCTAAAAATGACCGCAGGGTCTTCAAATTAGTAGGAGTAGGCCATTTGGTGACAGCTTCTATTTTGTCTGGATCAGCTGCAACACCCTTTACTGATACAATATGTCCCACATACTTAACCTTTGTCTGACAGAATTGGCATTTATCTAAGGAAATTTTGAGCCCCACCTCTTGGAGTCTGTCAAGAACCTTTAAGAGTCTTTCCTCATGTTCTTCAAGAGTGCGCCCAAACACAATCAGGTCATCCAGATAAACCAGTACTTGGAGCAGATTCATGTCACCCACTGCTTTTTCCATTAAACGCTGGAAAGTAGCAGGGGCTCCTGTGATGCCCTGTGGCATCCGCTCAAACTGATAAAAACCCAAGGGACAGATAAAAGCAGTTTTTTCTTTGTCCTCCTCTTTCATAGCTATCTGGTAATAGCCACTCCTCAGGTCTAAAACTGAAAACCACCGACTACCGGAGAGGCAGTCAAGAGCCTCATCAATACGTGGTGTAGTGTACTGATCGGGCACGGTTCGACTATTGAGTGTTCGATAGTCGACACACATTCTCACATCTCCATTTCTTTTTCTCACAATTACAATTGGAGATGCATATGGACTTTTAGACTCTTTAATGATGCCTGCAGCTAGCAGTTTCTGTATATGACAGCGTACATCATTAATATCAGCAGGAGCAATCCTTCTGGATCGTTCCCGAAAAGGGCGTGAATCTGATAGTCTAATTGTGTGCTCCACCCCTTTAGCTAGTCCCACATCAAGCTCATCAAGAGAAAAGACGGCTGCTCTTTCAGAAAGCTTTTGACAAAGTCTTTCCTTCCACTGCTCTGGCACAGGTGAGTCTCCAAAGCTAATTAGACTAGCATCAAACTCCTTATTTATTACATTTTGTTTGGAAGCCGTGGTGACAACATCAGCAACATACAGGCAACCCACAATGGTGCCAGGGGGTATTGTGATGTCTCTCAAGGATTCATTCTGGAACAATAAAGTCAGCTGGTTACCATTTACAGCATTACTTGGGATTACCATGGCTTGCAACAGAACACCGGCAGGAAGAGGATTTCCCACTGAAGATTCCACCAACAAGATGTCGGTAGGAAGAGGGTTCTCCACATCCACTTTGCAGGTTGCTGTACATTTACCTCCAGCAGATAGTGTCAAGTTTCCAGGACCCTCCCATTTTACAGGTCCAATTTCACCATTATGTTCCTCTTCTGGATCCAAATGCCTTCCTTCATTTCCAGGCAAAATGCTGTGTATTCCTAAAGTCTGACCAAACCCCTCAGGTGTTTCATCACACAGTTCAGACAAACGCTTTGGAAGATTGGCTTTGGCATTGGTCCCAATTATGACAGGGGTCTGATCTGGACCAGGTGGGTCAGGGCAGATCAGAGCTAGAACAGACAAAAGAGCTGGAGCTCCTGTCACTTTTTTGGGAAACTCCATATCTACAATCACATAGCCAAGATAGGGGTAGCTGGAATCACTCAAACCCCATATGTCTAGATTTGCAACTGGATTAATAGATGTGTCAGACAGGTACCTCTTGTACCAGGACTCAAAGATTATGCTAACTCTGGAGCCACTATCGAGCAGTGCGTCACATAAATGTCCATTTACTTTCACATGTTCAATAGATGGCGGACCGATTAAGCCGTCTGGTACACTATGAGGAACTACATTAGCTACTTCACTTCTTCTCACGCTACAGGCAGTTTCTGCAGTGGTCTCTTCAGTGGTTGGCTGTGGACTGGCGGTTTTAGCTTTTTTCAGTGCTTGTATAAGCTTCTGGATAACCTTATTCTGATTTTCAGGATTTCTGCACTTTCCTGCCATGTGCCCACTTTCTCCACAGCGGTAGCAAAAACGCTCATCTGCATCGGATTTTCTGTTTGGAGCATTTACTGTCCTTACCGTTGGTGATGTTTCGGCCTGGTAAGACACTTTTGACTTGACTTTCTGTTGCAACTGTTTCACTTGTTTCTTTAAAGCCTCAACTTCAGAATCCATATTGGTTTCTTTGTCTCTTTCTCTCTCATTAGAACATTTTTCAGGTTTATCTGCGACATTTTGAGGGTGTTGTGAAGCAAAGGCAGCAAACATTGACTTCACTCCTCTAATTTCATCCCTCAGATTCTGAATCTCTGAATGATTGGGGTCCACCTGAGTCTTTGGGTGGATTGCACGTACTGATGGGTTTAATTTAGCTCGAGATGCTTCATATTCTTCTTCAGCACGGATTTCACGAAGCAGTTCAAGGAACGTTGGAGGAGTGTCTTTTCTCTCTCTCAATCTGAGCTGAATTAGCATCAAGTCTGAACCTACTGCACCTTTAAGCAGCTGTTCGAGCCGTGCTTTATCCATATTCTTGGCTGGAAGGCCACCTCTTTGCACTACTTTTGACAACAAGCGTTCCATTCTCCGTAGGAAATCTGACAACTTTTCTCCAGACTGCTGCTGCAACAGTCTGAAAGCAAAATATAAATCATCTCCTGACTCTGCCATTCCAAATGCACTATCAAGAGCTTCTAAGCACTTTTCAGGGGTGACATCAGGATCAGAAAGACGAACAGCTTTTATAATTTCTAAAGCAGGACCCTTTAAACTCTCCATTATTCTCCGTCTTTTTTCTTTTGAGGAACATTCACTCACTTCCACCATCATGTAGGCCTGCTCTAACCAGTGATCAAATTGTTCCTCACCAACAGGAGTAGGTGTGATGCCTGAGAAGACACGCAGACGTCGATATCCTCCATTTTCTGCAGGTTTGGTTGCTTTATCCAGTAGATCACTTACAGCACGAATGAGAGACTCGGTGGATGAGGGAACTGGTTCTGGTTCTGCTAGAAGAGCCTGCACATCATCAACAGTCTTCCCTTCTGCGTGCAAAAGAGCATTTAGTTTACTTCTAAAATCCCCCTCATCGCTGGAAGTTTCTGAAATAATGAATATCGGCCAGGCTGTAGACTCATCTGAAGATAGTACCTCGTTTGGCAGATCAGCATTAGTGAGCCTTTCTCTGCACTCACAAAGCACTAATATCTGATCTGTAGATTCATCCAACATTCTTCCCCTTACACGCACACGCCCAAGACATTTCAAAGTCTGCAATGTCTCTTCTATTTGTGCGATTTCTGTATTTTGGGGAACTTTTGTCAATAACGCATGGCTCTCATCCAAGCCTTCTCCTCTGCACCAGTTCTTCAGTTTATTCACAAAAATCCCAGCCTGCTGCATTTCTCTTGCTTTTGCCCTGACAATCACAGTAAAAAAAATATTTTAACTAGCCTATCTATAACTCAAGACAGAAATAATCCCAGCGGTGCCTCCAATTTATGTAGCCCACCTATACCCCATTGAAGTAGGTAAGGGCCCCTGAGTTCGTAAAAAACCCCTTAAACTCTATTTACTTTTTTGACTTGAGTTTGACTTACCTCTGAGGACAGTAACAACTTTAAACACAACCTAAGGAAATCAGAATCAGGGTTATAATCCAGTCTTAAATCTGCTTATTTCTTATCTAATGATTTGAAATAACCAAACAACTCACAACACTTTATGAACTTTGAACTTATATTGAGCAAAACAAACAAACAAACAATTGAGATGTTTTCAAAAAATAAAATAAAAATAAATTTCTCTCTGTAATAAAGTTTCAGTTTCAATTGTCCAACTTAATTAAAATATGTGGGCCCACACTTCCTAACTCACATCTAAGCCGGCATAAAGTTAAAAATAAACCAAAATTCCCCCGTTGCAGGCCTGATATGATGTGGAACAGTTGGAGTGTGGTACCTCTCCCAAAAGTTTGGATCCGTCTGGTAATGAACCTGTCCTTTGGTCCCGGCTGATAAAGGAAGATGGATGCAGGATGTTGATCACTCTTCACCAGTCTCTCGGTCCCCAGCAACTCAGCATGCAGCAGAAAAGTCCAGTGAAGATGCAGTCCTCCGAATCAGATCCATAGAAATCAGTATTGCTCACCTCTCTGCACAGTGCTTGACTCTCCCAGCTTCCACGCCGGAAACTTTACTAGAGTCTCTGTTAGCTGAGCTAGCTCCCAGTACTGAAAATGCATTCACTTTGCTGGTGAATGCTAATGCATTAGCGAGCACTGGAACAATACTCACAGCTACTATACAGCAAATTTCGGGTTGAAACAATACTAGTAGTTGCAGACAACGATGTAGAGCTGATATTTTAAAATGACTGTCGAGTTGAAAGTCCACAAACATCAACAAAACTCCGTTTTTTAGCAAACTTCGGCACGTTTTTTCTCCGTGGTCAAGCTACAACACTCTCCTGCCACTTCCTGTCTCCCTGTTGCACCTCCCACTTCCTGTATATGGACCAATGAGAAACCAGTAAAATCCTTCTGCTCTACACTACTTCCTTTATGCAACACGAGACATTTCAAAATAAAACAAGATGTGAAGATTCTTTCTAACAAACGTTTTTTAACCAAACATTAGATTTATTCATATTTTTAAGATATACTGTTCTGCATAAACAACGGTTTTAACTTATTTATTACAACTTTAACACATTAAATGTTGAACACTTAAAATAAATGCATGAATTCAAAACAACACAACCCGTGACCATTTCAAAGAGGGTTACATGAAGAAACCTCTCAGACGAGAGGCGAAACGTCTTCTAGAAAACTTCACCTCCAATTACCTAGACTGAACTTTTTGAAGACTGCCCAATTTTCAACAACTATTTCTGGACTAAATCAAGACTATGATGGACCGACCAGATTTAACCTAAAAACCAATATCTAAATGATGTCTGGTGTTTGGAAGGTGTGTCATAAACCATTTTTTTGATTTAGATGTGTTTTAGAGGGGATGCATTGAGATGTTGCGGGGTAGTAGCTATGAGTACCTGGACCTGGGCACTGCAGCTCTGTCTGCAGGCATGTTCTGGGTTGCTCTTCTGTTCCAAGCACTTGACAATGTTATATAAACACATGTACTGCCTCACAACCAATAAAAACATTTTTTTATTCAATCATAAAGGTCACTTTGACAAAAGCCCATTGACCCACAGGTGTTGCAAATATGCGTTTAACAGAACATCTGTTTCTCATCAAGTCTTTGCAGTTGCATCTGTCCTTATACAACATATTAATAGTTTAAAGAAAACATGAACATGCACTACTGGAGATAGACAAAATTAAAGAGAAGTTATGGACCTGAAAAACATTCATCACAGAAGTCTGTGATATATAGTTTCACAGACGTCATGAATTTGGCTCCAGCTGCCGCCAACAATGAGACTAAGATGATGTCATATATGTCTGCCTGTAAAGTGACTGTGTATTTGTATGAGTCCATTAATTGTGCTTTGAAACGCCAAAAAATGCTGACCTCAGGGTTATTATAAAAGTCTTTCATTTTCTTCTCGGTCAGTTTTTCTCTGCTATTGTAACTCGTAGACTAAAGTGTGAATTTATGGGCGATGAGCAGAGATTTACGCTGACCCCCATTATAACAGGCCACACAGATGTGCTGTCATATTCATAAACTGTCGTCATCGATTTTATGCATTAGGCTGAGATAATTGCAGGATAAAAGGTGATTTCTATCAGAAATGTTAACTTCAGTAACATAAGAAGACTCAATTTCCCTTGTGAGATTTTTTGGGCTATTAATCCCAAAAAGGAAATAAAGTATTTCTAAATCAAATTGAATTGTATAACAAAAGTATAACATCATTTTTAAAGTGTGTGATTAATATGTTTAGACTCAATGCAAAGAGAGAATATCCCCTAGATGAAGTTACTGTAAAAGCTTTCAATAATGATCAAATAAAAAAACTAACTGATGATCTTGTTAACAGTTATCAGTTAACTTTGTAGTATCTTGTAGTATTTTCCTTTAAAAAATTTTGTAATATATGTTTGAGTTTTGCAGCCTATGAAAAGTGCTGCCCCCTGACCTAATTGGGGCCCTAAGAAATAGGGATTCCTATCTAATGAGTATCAACATAGGTGTTTGTCTCATCAGGTTTTATTTCAACAACATACCCACATTCAAGAGAGGTCTGAATTCCCTCATATTTTGCCTTTCTTTCTTTTGCTCATGTTGCTCAGGATGTTGTTTATATGACATGTTGATATCCCATCTTCTGTAGCTCTGCATGAGAGTGCCTGCCTGCACATGCACCCACCATCTGATTGGTCAGATGTTGAATGCTGACCTCATTGCATGGTCATATTATAGGTGGTTTCTTTTCTCCCCTTCGCCTTACAGTGTAGCGCAAATGTGCAACAGGGAATATGTTGGTGATCAGCAGTACATGACTGAAATTGTGAAGTAGAGAATACTGTATTCCCTCAGTTTTAGCTTCTTCTTTCAACTTAACATTATTCAGATCATCAAATACATGTCGTTGCTTGACAAAGAAAAATTAACAATAAAAAAATAGGAAAACTTCTACATAATGCTTTGTGAGGAGAGCTCTACTAGATATACATGCAGGTTTCCGTTATTCATGTATTCATTGTACTAAAATAAGGTATTTCCATCCTTAACTTACTAAAGAACACTAATACACACCTTTAAAAAATAATTTTATGATTTTCTAAGATACCTTTGATGCTTTTACATATTCTCTGTTAAACTTTTTGTGTGACGTCATCATCGGACATGCTCTGAGTAGTCCGCCAAAATATAATTTAAATATTAGAATCTTAGTTGTTTCTTTTTTAGATTGCGCACTATATACCATATGGTTAACACGAAAGACACAAACTCAAAAAGACTAGATTTATGTTTAAATTAGTGTTGCACCGATACCGATACCAGTATCGGACGGGGCCCCGATACTGCCCTAAAATGGTGGTATCAGTATCGGCGGGTATCAAAAAATTGGGCACCGATACCATTTTGAGAGCCAAAAGTTTATTCAACTATTGTCACCCACTCCTGGTAGGCAATAAAAAGTTCTACTGGATTCACTTTGTATTAGATTTTTTCCTGCTTAACAAAGGTAGACAGCAGCTTGACAAAGCCATGATGGCAATTATTTTACATTATTATGGTATCGGTATCGGCCAATACTGCACAGCCAGGTATCGGGTATTGGTATCGGGGCCAAAAAATGGCATCGGTGCAACACTAGTTCAAATCAAAAGCCGAAAAATGTAACTCCCAAAAGTATTCTGTAAAAGTAAAAAAAAAGAAAAAAAAAAAAAAAAAGAAAAAGCAATCCACTGGACTTTGTTTGCAAGGTTTGAAGACGTTTCGTTTCCCCTACAGGAAGCTTTCTCAAATCAAAATGTCCCCCAAAAGTAATGTAGGACTGCGATGGACTGGCGACCTGTCCAGGGTGTACCCTGCCTCTCGCCCATAGGCAGCTGGAGATTGGCACCAGCACCCCTCGCAACCCCACTTGGGATAAGCGTGTTAGAAAATGGATGGATGGAAGTAGTGTAGGATCCCATTTCTGGTATGTAGCTCAGTAGTCAACATAGGAAGTGAACATTGTACGTCATTTAAAGTCTGTTGTTGTTAGTTACCTTCTTTCATTACAACTAATTGTGACGTGTTGTTTTTTTAAGATCTTTAGGCGTACTTCAGGTTATCAGAAAGATTTGGGAATAACTTCTTTTATCATGCTGTTTTGACTCCATACCAAACTGTGATTTCAGAACTAATCCATCAAATGGCTTCAAGATTAAAAGAACCTGATCAGGTCTACACAGATTTTTTTGTTTTCATAATATGTAGTTTACATTCATCTAGCCTTATACAGCTATAGATCGTAAATACTGGAATAGACCACACAAAAGGCACAAAATTCCAGCCAGGCATAGCATACATTTTACAAGATGCTTTTTAACCCAGTAACCGGTGGGAGTCAGGAAACCCTTTCAGTAGCACACAGGAAACTCTGCAATAGGAGTTCTTGTTAGTGGCTGTAAAAACAGTCAGGGAATTTGCAGAAACTGAAACAGAGCACCATATACCTTCTCAGGTTCTGTCAGAGGGCTTTGATCTGAGTAGTGTGCTCTTTTAGGTATAGTTTCCTTGTAAATATCTAAATGAAGGTAACCTGAATGTTGTGTTATTGATTACATTTCTTTTCTAGGCATCCGGAAAACAGCAGGTGAGGGAGGTGATGTCACAATGAGTAAAAGGAAAAACAAGGACTACTGCAGGTGATGTTCGGCACACAAATGTCTGACAAATCAAGAATCTACACGGGATAGGATGATAGGATGACAGGCAGAGATGTGCACATAGAAGCAGAGCTCAGATAACACAATTAAGGGCTTTACCAGGCTTGATAGTTGGGCTTAAAAAAAGGTTAATGTCCAGAGTTAAGAAGCTTGGTAGAAGTTAGATGAAAATAAGGCAAAACAGGATAAACCAGGGCACAGAAACATGGTTTTAAGGAGATCCAACAAGGGAAAGGAAGATAATCCATCAATGACAACGTGGCTGGGGAGCGCTTACATAGATGGGTGAAGTAATACTGATCTGAGAGGTGGAGAATAGACTGACATATAATTATGACCTAACTTAGCTTTTGCATGCTCAGTAGTAGGTGAGCCAATATTTGTGTTGTGCTCAATCCAAACAAACCATGTGCCAATCATTACAACAATGTCTGTTCATTTTTTAAGTGTGCTTTACAAAGCCTGGAATCTCAGCTGCTAATTGAAAATGTGCTTTTTTTTATGTAGCTGTGTTTTTTTTATCTTATCTTACCTTAGGATTGCTTAGAACCATGATATTTTCTCCCTCAAATACAAAACCCAAAATATGATTAAAATATGATTAAACTATGTTTATTTGAGTTTTAGTTGTTTTTTTTCTTTAGAAAGAAACAAGTAAACATCCAAAAGGATGTCCAAAATGAAACCTATAAGGGATTAGTAAGATCGTTTTAATCTTCAGATTCAATACATCACTGTACTCTTGATCCATCAACACCATGTTCATCTTTTTCAGCCCACCTTTAAATATTTTCTTGCAGGTGGTTCATCTATTCATTGAAATTGTGCCCAGGTGTGTAAATGGGGTGATGCTGAAAGAAGTGCCAGATTAGTTGAGGGATAAAAGGTTGTAACAGACTGATAAACAGTCACAGATGTCATGGAGGTATCAGGGTCAGGTGCAGCACACAATTGTTTCTTTAATATTGCTGTTCACCTTTAATCTAAGTGTCACT